CAAAGGGGAAAAGCCGTAGCAGACTACCAAGATAGACACAAACCGGAAGTGAACCGAGTAGGGGTGAGTACTTATGGGACTACTGTACCAGAGCTATCAATTGCGCTTTGCACTATCTGAGATTGTCTCACTAGTTGTAAATGGTAAGCACCCCTGATCATTGTGGCAGAAGAGGTCACCATAGCAACAATACAACATGTTGAAACACCATTAATTTTTCATTAACTTTAAGTGCTTGTCACTCAAAACTGAGCAAGGAGATCCCCATTTTTTGGTTAACAATCAAAGATAAAAGTTTTGTGAAGTTTGAAAAAGTTAAGGTGCCTCTGCACACCTTACACAAGTTTTTGAACGTATGTATGTTATCACTACAATTCTGCAATAAATGATTGAAGTCATGATCATCAAGCTTGTTTTTTTAGTTGTAAACAATTCAAGCTAGAGTTAAGGATGTTAACAGGTTTTACTGTTGCTATGGAAACCTGTGAGCCAATCACTGGGCATTTGTGTGATACCATTATTGTAGCATCATCTGATAAAGAGTGGTAGTATTGATACATCAAAGTATCAGTGATGGAAGCTGTTGTCAGCCACCTTAATACAAGACAACTACACACTTGATCCAATCAACTTAATTATTGCTTTATTACATTAATAATTTTAATAGTTTACATTCATTTGAGACCAAGACCTTCTAAAAGTTACACAAGGTTTGGAAAATTACAAATTACAAGTTAGGATATTACGATGCAGATTAAATGCAGCAACCTGCAATACTTGCACTTACATTGTACATTATTATACAACTGAATATTATTTACTTAATTCTTACTCCTGCAACTAAAGAGTTACTTAATGGTCTCCTAACTTCCTTTCCAATTTGCCTCTTTGGCACAGGCCCTTCTTTGCAATATTTTTTTTAGGTTTTCTTTGAGACTGAACATTGCAATTTAGTAATTGACAGCCCTTCTCTCTTTGTTTGCCCAGTTAGAGTCCATCCTTGACACTGGTCTCAAACTTCAAAAAATGTTTCTAAAAATTAGTGTTATCTCATCTGATAAATTCCTCTGACAATGCTTGACCTACAGACCAGACACTGGCTATACGATGAAGCATTATTAGCTTATTATTAGTCTATCCATAACCTTTTGACAATTACCATTATAATTGTATCTATAACAAAATTTCCAATCATGATTGGATCTCTGCCTGCTATTAGTCACCTAACTGGTGTGCATTCATGTGGGTGTCCAATTGTACCTATCATGTTCTCTTGCAGGTATCTAATTAGAACTATTTGTATTTAGATGCCTGTAATTGGATACCTACATGATTCACATGTGAATTACGTGCACTTTTATGGCTTCCTCAATGTTTCCCAGTGTTTTTGAAACTTAGGAAAATGCTACTGACCTTTTTGCTCAAAAGAAGTTCTCCAAAGACTTTTTCAATTTTGAAATTTGTTATAGATATGATTAATTGGTAAGTGGACCTTGTGTCATACAATTCAGCGAGTAATCGTGATCATAATTTAAAATCGGCCTTGCACTTCACTCTTGTCCGTTATTGAAATTACTTGCCCGATTACTCCCTGAATTGCACTCCACTTGGTCCAATTACTATTACAAATGGTTCCAACTGAAGTTGGGAGACAGGGTACTTAGTAAGGACTGGGCTCTTATTTCTTGATCAAAACCATCTCCTAAATGCTGAAGCTATAGCAAAATTCATTAATGAAGCCAATCTAATGGATCAATGAGACCAACAAGTTAACAAATCTTGACTAAATATTACAATAAACTCTGTTTTCAGAGGGCTCAATATCTGAGGAGGGAAGTAAATTATAAATGTAACAGTAATTTAACAATGATTCCAATTCTAATTACAGTATTCAATTGATATATGTTTGGTTCTCTCCTTTGTATTAATTTTCAGTTTGAAACCAAATTGAGAAAATAAAACTCCCCTGAAAACCTGCACTTGTGGCCTCTCCTTTCCATGGCATAAATGTAATGTACAACTGAATACAAAGATCCAAATCTAAAAAAATATATAATTATGCAGTTGTAATTATTCTTCCTTTACCCTGGTCATCTCTCTGTGCTGCAGATCTACCTCTATGACCTACAGCACTACATCTCTTTGTTTTGCAACCTTGCGTTTACACAAAGTTGTATTTTCAACACTTCAACAGCAATCTTGATCACTATTAAAACAATATTTATGGATTATCAGTTGTGTTATGAAACCCAAACAGTTTAGGCCAAAAACATTAACTCTGAAGGAAAACATTTTATGAAACAATAAGCTTCTTTAGCTAACTTCTAGGTTCTGGTTGTTTAGCTGATGATTAAGTTAAACAACAACAACTCAAACAACTTGACCCAGGTCCAGTAATACATTATGTTTTCTACAGGCTTGAAATAAAAATTAACACTTACGTTTAATACAAGTCATAATTAACTAGTTGTCTCATGTTTTGTCAATTGCCAAACTCATTTTGACTCAAAACTTTGATGTTCAACAACACCAAATAAAATGTATTTTACTGACCATCAAGTTGATCAGCTGGCTGAGACAAATCTGATCATTAGACATTCCTCTGAGTGCAAAGCAAATGTCTAAGTCATGTTACAAATCAATAACATTTAAGATCTAGCCCTTGTTCAGAAAAACATATTTTGCTTGTAGGCTAACCAGAGCACTATTTATACTTACTATAATGCTATTTGGCTCGATGCAGTTAGTCACCTATCTCCAGCCCACCATCTGCCACATTCCAAACCATGGGGAATTGGGATTAAACTTAACATTTGCTGAACAATCAGCAATGACTCAGCTATTGGACTTAAGTTTCAACTTGACTCAGGGAACAGATTTACTCACAGACAGTCCCACTGTTTTCTTCTTTCAACGCAAAAGCCTAGTAAGTTGTTCCATCACTTATTTGTTACTTCTACAGTACATTGTAACATCTAGATCTACAATTATATGACATGTTTTCTACATAATAATGTAAATAATCTCAGTCAATGTTTTTTACTGACCTTGAGGTATAATATTGTAAAATCAGTGCCTATACTTCATAATTTTTGGGGGGCCATACCAAGCATCTAGTGCAATTACAGTGCTATTTCATTAAATTGATTTTTGATTCATACAATTTTCTTTTGTCAAAGACATGTAAATTTGCTGCAACTATTTACAATATATCATCAACTCCACTGATTAGTTTCATGACTTGATTAAGTACTTTGGGGGTTGGAAATCAAATGAGGTGTAAAACAGCAGATATCCGGCTGAAGTCTGCAAAAGAAACAAATATTTTCTGCCATAAATAATAAATTTATTATGATATGATCTAATTATGGTATGGTATGATGTGGTGTGATAAATGATATGATATTGTTCCAGAAATTTATCCAGTCTTTCCCACACCCTTATTTGAACCCTCCCCATTGTCATTTCAAATAACCCTCCTTGGAGTGAGTACATGGATAATTTCTGAAACCACACAACACAACAATCATTCAAATATCAACTCTACTTTGTAAAAGAAATGCCAAACCAAAGAATGCCCAGTTTAATGCGTTTTCTGGGAATATAATTAAATGCACTTATTCCAACTGTCTGTCCGTTGAATTTTACCCACAGTCAGAATGAATGCAGGTTGCCAAAAATAATTGTTCCTCAATTCAAGTATTTATGTGCTTCCTCTACACTTGGGCAAGAGACTCTTTATTAATGGCTGGCAATTAAAAATTCCTTTGTGTGCATTTAAATTAGCCTAGACAATGACCTTGTATTAGATTAAAAATTCTTCTAATTGTCATACTGACAAATTAATTTATAATCAGCGGCTATTTATGAAAAGGGTCTATTTCATTTATGAACAAGAAATAATTTTACTGGGAGTCAAGGATGAAATGAAGCACTTGTGGATAACTCCTTGTCTCATGAGTGCCCCAGATTTGTTTCCTAAAAAAGAGCCTCGAGTAACATGATTTAATATTCACTATCAAGATGAAACCTAGAAGATCACTAGTAGACATACCACAACTTCTCTGGGTGACATCTCAGTTACATACTGATCATCAAACTTGTACCACTTCTTATCATAAACACTCTTGCAGAATGCAGTGTAATGTCCGCCATGCATGGTTCCATAATGATTGGAAACGGCATGCAGGTTGTAACGTGCTGTAAACTTTGGACCCACTACAAAGTTGGACATGTCCAACTGTGACATTTGAAAGGAGACCCCTGTTTGAAGTTTCTGACGCCACATCCCTTCATATTGAAATCTACAAAAAATGTACAAGATTACTACATGGACCTTACACCTGCTTTCAGTGTTACATGCATAGCAACTATCTCTGCTCTGAATGTTTACATCTTTCAAATATTAAGTGAGCGGTAGCAGCTTAATTCTACCAGAAGTCACTATTGAGAGCTGATTGACTACACTAAAATTGTTTGAATTATCCTGTAAATTGGGAGTCCACAATCTTCTTCATTCATTTGAGGTCAGTAATTGTATATACTTGTCATTTGTTCCGCTAATAACCAGAAAAATTGCTAGTTTCACAGGTAAATGGTATTTCAGCCATTTATGTGGTCAAAAGATGTCGCCTATGCATGTAACACTGAAAGCAGGTGTAATGAAATGAACTACAGTTATGTACTTGCTAAGCCAACAGACAACTTGCTATGAAGACTTGCCACAAGGCGACCTTTGCTTAATCCTACGCTTAATCAACACTCTCTTGCTTTGCTTAAGGGCAATCTTTGAGCAATAAAGTCAAAAGCAAGAAACCAACAGTCAAGGAAAGTATTATTGGAAAAGACTTTTCGAAAGTCTTATAACTATTGATAACATATGTCTTGTCAGTTATTTGTACGTGTCAGTGACCAACTTGAGAGCAATTAAGCGGCTTTGGTCACTGAGCACTTCCCAATTTAGTTTTGGTTGTACATTTTTTCCATTTCTACATTTTCCGTGTTAATGTTTTAATTTAATCAGTGGAAGGTTTGTAAATAGTGCAAATAAAAATCTGAATCTGAAAATAACAGACCCTCCAAATTAAAGTACCTCTCAAGAATCATAGATTCATAGATGCACACACTAAAGCTTGTGTAAGGAAAGTCATTTTTGATTACCGTTTGAGATGTACAACAAGGATGGCTGGCAGCCTCCAGATCTGAATTGTTTTACTGGCTTCCCTTCTTTGTTGGCACTTTGGACAAAACCTGACATGAAAAATTCAAATTAGACCTGTCACTGATGGCTACCACAGTGCCTTATACATTGTAGTCATTCAGATTTCATTTTCAAATTGGCTGCTGGGTGACACAGCACACAATATTGGGTCAATATTTAAAATACTTACCATTTATCATCTCCTGACATTTTCTCAGGTTTTGTAAACAAGGCTAGGCAATCCTGAAATAAGTAATCAATTAATACTCCAAAAAATATTACACATCCAAACAATAGTACATAAACTACAACTTCTAAAATATCTCAACAAATCTCAATATTAATAGCCCATTAAGGTATATTCTATAAAGGCAAAATTCTAATCCTCCGTCTGTAGTCTTCTGATGACACTGTTTGCTTGTTAGAAACAAGATTTATTGATTGTAGCTAGAAATATCCATACTATCATCTTCCATATCATGGTTGACTAAATCAACTTAATTATTGTTATTTATTAATTAATACATGGAGGCACGGTGGCCTCCTGGTTACTGCGCTCGTCTCTGGATCAAGCGGTCCAGGTTTGAGCCTTGGCCAGGGACATTTTGTTGTGTTCTTGGGCAAGACACTTTACTCTCACAGTACCTCTCTCCACCCAGAGGTATAAATGGGTACCAGCGAATTTATTGCTGGGGGTAACCCTGCAACAGACTAGCATCCCATCCAGGGGGAAGAGGAAATACTCGTAGTCGCTTTATACTACAGAAACCGGGATAAGCTCCAGCCTGATGGGCCACTTGGCTCGAATGCAGACTATACCTACCTTTACCATTAATCAATACACATACCTGGAGAGTGCAGCGACTTGCATTGGCTGGCAGTGGGAGAGTAAGGTTGGAAAAAGTGTCAAAAGTCCTGGATTCTTTACTACAGACCATACACTTTACAGTTGACATGAACAAACCCTGAAAAAAATGACCAAACAATTGTGTAATCATTACATTAAACAACACAACTCTTGTCTCTGCTTGGTTTTTCACACATCGCTTTTTATGTTATTGCAGCACAGTCACATGTGTTTAATCACAGTTGTCAGATTACTATTATTGTAACCCTTTGTGAAAGACCAAATGTTGTAATTGAACACCTTGCCACTTGCACATCAGTAGAGCAAACCTTGTGCACTTAAACTCTGGTCTTGCTTTTTTGATCGAAGAGAAAGCTATAGATGTCATCTTACATCAAACAATTCCACCATAATAGATTCATTCCTCTTCTTGTGGTTTTCCCAAGCAATCTTGGCAGCTGTTTGAGGGTCTAGATCATCAGCAGGTGCCTTAAGATATGGCTTGCTCTTCACCTACAGGGAACATACATGACAAAAAAATTTGTTGATTTATTGAAATTTTAATAGTACTTCTTACTAACTATTTCACTCTCAAGAATAGGTAGGTGTACAGGTAGGAAAAGAGGGAGGTAGGAAGATTGGTAGGTACGTGGGATGCAAGGTAGGTAGGTAGCTAGGTAAGTAGGTAGAGAGGTAGGGAGGTGGGTAGCAAGGTAGGTAGTATGCAAACAGTTAGGTATCAGGTAAGTAGGTTGGTAGGTAGGTAGGTAGGTAGGTAGGTAGGTAGATAGGTAGAAAAAAGAGGTTAAGTGGGAACATTAGTAGGTAGGTGGGGAAAGTGAGAGTTAAGAAGGTAGTAGGTATGTAAGCACCAGGTGGGTAGGCGGGTGGGCAGGGTGGGTCTTTCTGGTTTGTGTAACATTGTACAACACAGAGTATTGCTACTCTCCTAGGTATGATACTACTTCAATACAACATTGGCAGACCGTTGCTCTTACTAATGGTTTGGCATTTAATATTTGACATTTGTGTCTAAAGTGATAGCCTAGAATGAAACTTACTTCTTATTATACCTATTCAGTACCAACAATACCTTGTTGAGATCCTCTTGTAAGCCATCCATCAAGAAAGCTAACAGTTCCTGGGAATCTTGTTGGTCATACCCAGAGAACTGGGATTTAAACTTTCCAACTGTTCGTTTGAAATCTCCTGGCGACACACACTTGAATTGTCCAGAATGCAGAACTCTGACAAGCACTGAAAAGCTCTCTGCTAGTTCCCCTGAAAAATAATTTGTTTTGTAATGGGCATATGCACTTGCACTGGTTGATAACAAACTAGGATCATTATTTAAAAAGCTGTGTAATACAGCTGGACCTGATATTATTTTCAACTTGGTTATTTCAATCTCCCTGTAATGTTGAACCCAAACTCATTTCCCTTGCATTTGCCCTGGTTTATTTTGCAATTTACTATCAGCTATAGATGACCTCAGTTTTTCAAACTCTCTGCTATTTTGAACTGATTTTTGTTTCTAGAAAGATTGTATGTAAGTCCATCTTATAATGGTTGTCCTTTAACAAAAAACATGTTATATTCATATTTTAAATCATGACATGAATTTCAACTTTTGTCACCTACCCTTTGTTCCATCTCGATTGCTTCTGTTGAGATCTTCTCTGTAAACCCCTGAAATAAAAAAAGCAGCCAAAGGGGAAACACTGCTCAAGCACTGTACAACAGAGTTCATATAACAAGTGTTTCCCAGGTTACGGAGTCCTGTTAATCCAGTTCCCAGCCCTCCATAGCTAGGGTTAAAGCTGTCAAGCTGGTTGGCAGACAAAGGTTTAGCACTGCGGTTTATAACTGGTCTGGCTGTTCCTGTTTGCTCCGAGTCTGGTTTTGATAAGCGATCTATTACCGGTCTCTTAGGACCAGAAGTGCCCTGATCACTCTGCTTTTTTAGGTTTGGTGAGGAATTGGATCTGCGCAGCATTGGCCTTTCTACTGAAGATTGTCTCTTTATAGGGGCCTGCTGTTGCTTTTGCACACTAGATTGTGGTGCAGCAGGTGTTGTCCCTGATGAGGGTGGATGCCAATGTGTTGTATGAGTATTATTATCTTTGTAGTAAACTTTTCCTTCACTTTCAACTTTCTCCCAGCCCGGTGGCAGTCCTGTTACACTACTTGATTGTGGTGCAACAACTTTTGTGCCTGACTGAGATTGATCTGGCTTTTGCACACTAGATTGTGGTGCAGCAGGTGTTGTCACTGATGAGGGTGGTTTCCAATGTGTTGAATGAGTATTGTGATTTTTGTAGTAAACTTTGTCTCCACTTTCAACTCTCTCCCAGCCAGGTGGCAACCCTGGTGTAGTTACATAGGCAGTTGCCTTGTTGGAAGCAGCCTGTTGAGAAGACTTTGACACCTTTTGTCCACCATGTGGCTGTTTTGCGGATCCACTAGGAACATCCTGAGTTGGCTTCTGATCAGAATTAACTACATGTCCTGGAGGGGAAACTTGACTTGAATTAATAGTTGTATCCCTTCCATTTGGATTGTTTCTTGAATCTGTCCTTGGGATGGGTGAAGTGGCAACCTGATGATGTTGTGCTGCTGGAAGGGAGGACTGTCCAGGAACTTGAGTACCACCATGAGACACTTGACTCACTGATGGAACTTGTGGGTGGTTTCCTGGCTGCACACTTTGTTGGCCAGGCATATGGCCAGAAACAGGTGGAACAGCAACTCCAGGGCCTTCGGGAGGTACTGATAATTTTGAAGATAGCTGTGGTCCTCCAGCAGAAGATAAAGTTGATATTGTTTGAGTAACCTGCAGTGGAGCCACTGAGTGTACTTGGCTAGTTGAAGATGTGGAATTCACACTAGCAGGCTGAGTCCCAGGCGTTGACATGTTTGAAGATGAAGTCGACTGTGAGATAGTGGATTGGGGTGGTGAAATACCAGGTTGAGCAGATGGCTTGCTTGAAGGGCTTGAGAATGGCACACCAGGTTGCAAAACTGGCTTTGGAACAGTTGCACTTAGTAAAGATGGTTGGGTATTTGGTGCCATTTGAGGACCAGAGTTAGGAGTGTTTGCTTGAAGACCTGTTTGACCTGAAGGATGTGGTGCTGTCATATTTGGTTGAGAACCTGGTGGCCTAGGTCCTCCTGGATTTGAAATAATGGCCTGTAGAGCAATTTGCATTGAAGACTGCATTCCTGGTGCTGACGATTGCAATATTGGAGCACCAGGTTGTGAGGATGGCATGTTCCTTGGATCCAATTTTTGAGGACCAGTATGCGACAGTTTTCTGTCAGATAGTGAAGCTGAGACAGCTGGAGGAATTCCTGGTTGATTATAGTTTGGGCCAGGTGTGTGTACTGGACTCAAACCTTCTGAAGGAGCTTTCCCTCCTGGAAGTGGTCCTGAGGATGGTACATTGGGAGTAGGTTGGAAAGGAGCTGGGGAAGGTGATGGTAGCGATTTGTCTTGTTGAATACTGCCTTTTGGGTTAAGAAGTTGGCCATCCACATTTTGAAGACCTGCCGTTGGGAGGGCTGGATACTGGAGGCTACTGTTAAGATGACCAGTTTCAGGAGATGATGGCAACTGAGGTGATGATATTTTCTCTTCTGGAAGTTCAGGGTAGTCTAGGGATGATAGATCTATGGGAGTTACAGGTTTAGGTTGTGACTGCACCTAAGAGTGAAGAACGGTATTTGTTAATAGAGTAAAAGGGCACAGATGACATCTTTGCTACAAAGAAAAGACGTACTGGCTGCAGTACATTACACAAATGGCAATCATAGTCATCAAAATGGCTGCTGGCAATGTGACATTCACTAAAATGTCATCTTGTAGACTCAAATTCTGTTTCAATCTATTAGCAATAGATTGACTTTACAGTACACCCTTGACTGCCAAAATTGAGCCAAAATGCAGCTGTATTTCTATAATTACTTATGAAATATAAATGACTTTAGGTTTTTTTTGGCAGTGTTGATGTTTTGAATGTACAATATTTTTCTATATTTCTTAGTCTCAAGCTACCTTTGGCAATTCTGCTTTCAGAGCAACAGATGGATAATGCCACAACCAACTATGGAATCCACCATCAAGAAAGAGTGGTTCATTCTTTAATGAACTGTATGAGTCAAAGGTAAATATCACATCTTTGAGCCTTTGAATTCTGCTTTCAGGTGTAATGTCTGCAATCTTTGTTGACTCATCCATTAAAATAACAAAATCTTTTTGTCCTCTCTTATTCCAAATCTTTCTTGTTGCCTCAGGCAATCTTCTTTCTATGCTGCCAACTGACACCCTAAAAAAAGAAAACATATCATTATTAGAAAATATCAGTTGATAACACATTATTTCAGGCAATAAACCAGTTCAGATATAACATAACTATGACATAACAAATTTTCATAGATTATCTTTTGTAGGTCCTGAAGGCTATTACACATAGATAATATCAAAGCATACCCCCTTTCACACTTTTTGTATATATTTCTTACTAGCGTTTAAGGCCATATTGGAGATCAGATCAGATCTACTCTACTCAGTAGCACACCATGAGTGAAAATACTGTTTACTATTGCACAGACATAATATTCTTACCCTTGATCCAGCAGTTCAGCTGGTATATTTACACAACATGAACATCTGATGTGATTCTCAACAAACATGGAATGAGGTCGGCAGTCTAGGATCAGAATTTTGGACTCACTCTCTGGTGTTAGCAGGTTGTACAGATCTTGTGCTGTTACACATCTGAGTGAACCATCTGTAGCCGCTGATTTGGCCATGGAACTTGGAGACTCCAGACCACTAATTAGTGTACCTAACACAAATGACAAATCAACAAATGTTAAAAGTGTTTATGCTCAGTTAAAGACTGAACCTTAATTTGCTGGTGTTCTAAAGATCATCATAAAATATCACCCTTTGTCATTATTTAACTTTCTAGCAGGAAAAATTAAGAAATGAAAATTTGAAAAGCACACGACAACATGTATGAGAGATTGAGGCAAAATGCCATTTTGATTGCAAATTTTGAAGTAAATCAATGTTTGTTTTCTTTTTTCCTATCTCTAAGTCTATCAGTCAGTCAGTCAGTCAGTCAAGCCACTTTCTGTCAGTCAGTCAGATTAGTTAAATATAACCTACTTTAGACTAGTCACGAATACTATATAACACTTACCACTACCACTATCTTGTGATTTCGGTGTGAGGATTGAATTATGACTGACCTTAGTGGCAAAAAAAAACAATTAATGACTGAAAAAGAGGCATTTACACGTATAACAAGATGAGCATTCATTTAAACTACTTGCAAGAAGTTGACAATTAAAACAAGAAACTATGTGTAAATAAAATTCATATTGTTACCTACCTTAAGCTTTTGATAAACATCAGAGGATGAACTAATAGAATTTCCATTCAAGAGCAAATCAATATCGCTGTCAAAACCACTGTCACTGAAACAATACATAAACAACATAATGCCTTAGTTAGAACAAGTTCATTTATTTCACATTATTTTGTACCACTGATAATAAAATGTTAATCAATTAAATTATTGACAGACTTATTCATGTTCAACTTTTTGTAAAACACTCTGACGTTGGATGTACTCTGGGATTTTGATGAGGATTTATAAACCCTGTCATGAAATCATGTTATATGTTTTTACTTTTCTAAATTAACCCTGGGAACACACCTGAGCTAAAAACTGTCAGGGAATTTGGGCAAACTCCCTAGTCCTTGTAGACTCTAACTTGTGGCAACAGCAGACAAATATGGAGATCACTTGAAACATTTACAATAATTACTATGTAAAAGCACTTCTAACAAAGAAAATCATCAGATTTATTGAGTTTCCTAATATTTACTAGGTGGAATGGTGTCATCAATAGTCTTGTATCAATATAATACAATAGGTAAAAGTCTGCCTACGAGCCAAGTGGCCCACCAGGCCAGAGCTTATCCCGGTTTCAGTAGCATGAAGCGACAAGGAGTATTTCAACTTCCCCCTGGATGGGACGCTAGTCATCGTAGGGTTCCCCCCCAGCATTAAATTCGCCGGTACCCATTTATACACCTGGGTGGAGAGAGGCACTGTGAGAGTAAAGTGTCNACCATGTGGCCACCGTGCATCCCAAATATAATACAATATTGAATTTATATTTATGAACTTTTTATAAATTTTTAACTTACCTGTCTGTTCCATTGCCATGCTTTGCCTTCAGCGATTCCAAATTTTCTACAGAAAAAAATAAAAGGAATTGAAATTGTGCTCTGTTTCTACAATTATTATAATTATTATTCAAGAAACTATTACCAAAGTTCCCTTAGCTTAAAAAAGGGTCCAAGCATCAAACATTGTTACACATAACCCAATCAGTAGCTCATGCAATACTTTGAATAATCTTGGTCAACACTGGATTTTAAATGTAAAATAAATGTTACAGTCCTTCTAACCTCATGCTAAACCTATCAAACTGATTTTCAAAAATGTCACTGGTCCTTCAGCTTAATATGAGTCAGGATGTACACAAGCACTGATGCCTCTAGAGGCACCAGCACAAAATACAGTTGCATTCAGACACTGGGAACTTTAAGTACCCAAGTACCATACACATGTAGTGTGTGAGTACAAGTGAGAACACATTTTCTGAGATTTGAAATTCATTGATAGCATAGTCAAATTTGCTTCTTAGGAGTCCCTTGTTTTACTCTGCAGAAATTGACAATTGAGTTTATTTGTAACTCATTTCGAATTCATTTTGTTATAAATTTGTACATGGATGACTCCAGAATAATTTTGAAATGGCAAAAGAAATGTGACAATTTTTGCGTGCAATACAACAAGTACAGTGTGAAATGTTTACCTACTGACAAACAGAAGGTCCAATAAATAATTCTTACTGCATTATTTTATAAATACTTTTATTAATAAATAACTAAAAAACATGTTACTCTTGTCTTCCTCTTCTTTTCGTTTTGCTTCTTCCTGTGCTTTTTTGTCAGCTTCTTTTTGAGCTCTAAGCTTTTCATACCTGAACAAACATATTGTAGGCCCTCAACACAGATAATAGCACAATCACAGTAATTACGTTTTACAGGGTGTACTTGGATTGAACAAATATACCTTTACACAGTCAAATGAACAATTCATTAACTGTTTTGAGTTCAACATTTCACTTAACTTAATCATGATACATTATTTTAACTGTTGGATCCATTGTTTGCCCTTGACAAAGTGATACCATATAGTTACATAAAAAATCCTGGAGAAATTATAAATTACCTAGCTGACGCCTTGGCAGGTCATTTTGCACTACAAAATGTCAGTGGGTGCAGTGGTGCATCCATATAAAAAGTGCCTGAGTATGTAAAATGTGTGGGCCTGGAGTTCTAAAGGGAAGGTCCACCCAGATTGAAAAATAATATCACTGGACTGAATGTTTCGTAGAGCATTGTCACTCATGTGACCAGCAGCCATACAAATTTATTGTAAAAAAAAAGAAAGTGTTTACATAAGAAAAGAGTTCAGCTCCCACAGGATTGGTTTGGTACACCAACATTATTCTATAAACAATTTATAGAGCCTACCAAGATCAAAAAGGTGGGGTTTGGCCCCCTCCTTCCTCTACCAAGGTGCAGGCATGCAGCATGAGAATTGAAAAAAATCAAAGAAACCAACCTTTTATCGAGACTTTTTTGCAGTGCTTCTGCTCGGTTTATAGACTTGATGATTTTTGATTTCCCCATTAAATTGTCAAAGTAGTTCTACAATTAAGAAAATACCAATTTTACAAATTCTACAATATATATTACATACTTGTAGGCAAAGAAAAGTGTGGTATATAGGATACTGCCTTTACTGGGGTTACATATTAAAACAATATTACCTGTTTTTTTGTTTCATATCTAAATACCAACAAATGAACATTTTCCCATTTACTGCTCAATGATCTACAGTCTACAGTTCTCTACAATGTCTGTAGAGTTGAATATCACTGTGAAAGTATTTGGGATGAATCTAGATTTAGGCTGGTTTTGCTACCTTTTGAGTTTGCTACATTCAAGTTTGCTACACTCAAGTTTGCTACATGTTCGCTACTCACAGGCCAAGTTTGCTACCTAAGCTAACGGAGTTTGGCTTGGCAGTGTATAAAAGAACATAATCATCACGCATGTTACATCTTACATGTAGGTCTCTATAATTATTTAGAAGCATCAGCTAGAAGCATGTGGTTGGATTGATTTTCATTGATACAGTTTAATTTCAGGAAGCTTAAAAGTTTATCGATAGTAGTGAACACAAATTAAATGGGTAACGAACTGGAAGTTGTGTGTAGTAAACATCTACATGTAGCGAACTTGACAGGTAGCAAAACCAACTGTTGCCATATATCTACATGCATTTAGAGGAGGTACAACTAAGCATGTGAGGAGGCTGAGGGCATTGTGTTTCTTGGCCAGGAGTACTTTCAGATTGATCTTATGGCTAGAGAACAATTAGTTTAGACCCTAGCACCTGTAATCTTGAAATTTGAGTTTTGTTAGCTTCGTGCAAGTTGCTTTCCTTTTAAAAGCTCTTGCTTTTGAAACCTCTCCTTTAGCTCAGAATCTCCAATCATCTTCCTTGTGGTGGGTATCAATATTTTCTGAAACCTCACATTCTCCTAGAGAAGCAGATCTGAAATAATGCCAGTGCACTCACCTTGTTGTCAGAGTATTTCTTGGTCTTTTTAATCAAGGAGATGATATTAAAAAAGCGCATGTACATGGCATACGCATGCTCTTCATCACCTTCCAGGTCATGACTCTGAGCTTTCAAGTAAACTTTATCAGCTGACTTGATGTATCTACAAAGATAAGATTAGTGCTTAGTCAGATTATAAGCATATTGAATTGTACATGTAACCACTAAACACTAAACTTCTTTATACTGTTTTGAATGTGCATACTAATGAAAACTAACCTTTTTGTTTTGTTATCTAATTTTAGATATTTTCCTATCATGATATGATTGTATATTGCTCATCTTCCTTGTTACTTTTTCTAGAGCACTATTGTGTAGTTTCAGAGAATATCCATACCTCCCCGACAGAAGGGATTTTTTCCAAGACCCTCCCACCCCTCTGGAAATTCCAACTAAACTTGCTACAGTCCTTTAAATTTTTTGGTCTTAGAGAACCCCCTGCCCCCCAGGAAATTCCAATCCCCTCTGTGGGAGGAGTATGGATATTTTCTGGTGCTGCACATTGGACTTTTGGATTTTGGCACTATGTAAATTAAGTGTTATTATTGTAATTATTAATAAGTATTAACTTATGTATGCAATACATGAAATGTATGCATAATCAAAGATCACTGAATAATAAAATTTAAGATGTTTAACATACCATATTTCTTTGAATAATAGCAGGGGGTATTACCCCTTTTTTGCACCAAAAGGGGACAATTACTTGAGGGGGGGGGGAGTGATTAAGCCAGGGGGACGATTCTTTCAATATTGCTTTAAAGGAGTCACCTATACCCATAGCAAAGCTCAAGGGAATAAAGGAAAAAGCATAAAAAGCATGTTATAACAACAACAAAAAAACTGTCACAAAACCTGTGCTTTTGTAAACTATCTGTTGTATGTAATGATTAAATCAAAGCTTGAATGTTATCCCATTGGATATTCAAGGAGTAAATGCCTAATTTACTGGGGGGGGGGGGGGA